GACTTTTTAACTGACTACACAATAACAATATAGATCCTAACCAGTGTATTATGACGCAATAGAACCCCAACAACAGGTAACAAGTATAGGTAACAAGTAGCATAAGTACAGGTAACATGTAACAACTATAGATAACACGTAACAACTACAGGTAACAAGTACAGTTAACATGTACAGATAATACAGGTAATACGTAACAACTACAGGTAACAACTACAGGTAACACGTAACAACTACAGGTAACACGTAACAAGTACCAGCGTAGCAATACCTGTTTGTGACCGTCATAAAGTCACGTATAGAGCTGCTGGCACATATAAAATTACTTAAGTTTACTTGAATTTCGAGTTAAACCCTATTACTCAAAGGGGTTAAATCCTCGCACTCAAGGGGTTAAATATTCGTTCTCAAGGGGTTAAATCCTCGTACTCAAGGGGTTAAATATTGGTACTCAAGGGGTTAAATCCTCGTACTCAAGGGGTTAAATCCTCGTACTCAAGGGTTAAATATTCGTTCCTCAAGGGATTTAGAAATCCTCTCGTACTCAGGGGTTAAATATTCGTACTCAAGGGTTAAAATATATTTACTCAGGGGATTAAATCCTCGTACTCAAGGGGTTAAAATATAAATGCACAGGGGTTAAACCCTATTACTCAAAGGGGTTAAATCCTCGCACTCAAGGGGTTAAATATTCGTTCTCAAGGGGTTAAATCCTCGTACTCAAGGGGTTAAATATTGGTACTCAAGGGGTTAAATCCTCGTACTCAAGGGGTTAAATCCTCGTACTCAAGGGGACAACTCACTACCAACACATCTACGTCACCAGTTATACGTTTATTAATAATACGTTGTTATGGTGGAGTATAGACGCAAGACCCGATACTGAGTTAACTTATTGGCGAGGTATTGGCGGGAGTCAAGAGTCGACCTGTTTATTAACTTATCAGGTATTCTTGACGATCATTTACACCTTTTGACTGTAGCTGTGAGGGGAAAAACACAAGAAGGGTTAATATCTATTTCATGAAGGGTGTATTGTGAGGCGTGAGGGATGTGTAGATGAGGAGTGAGGGAGGAGAAGTAGGAGGGGGGGGGGAGATAAGTGAATAAGGGTGAAGATAATGAGTGAATGAGGTCGTGTAAATGTAGAATGTATATTGAACAAAGCACAGTGAACTATTTATCTTGGTTCAAAAACTAAACACAGCTAAACTAATTCAGTGAGTAAAATTTTTATAAGCCCATGTTATTAGTTTACAATATTAATGTAGTTTTTCATTCAATAAGTGCTTTAAAATGTCTTCGATGCCATTATACATAAATTTTGGGGGCACAGTTTTTTTTAATAGGAACAAATCGTATACTGTATTATATAATGGAAGTCAATGGGGAAAAAATCACATTTGATTTACGAAATTTTGGGGTTAAAGGTCACTATGGGACTTGTATGTTCGAGGGTGACGTGAGCGGTCCAGCTGATCAAACACAAGATGTAAACAAACACCACGTGCGCTGGGTGACACCTTTCTCAACCTCGCTACAGGTGCAACACGTGTGGATACGGCAGGTGATTGCAGTTATAGTGTGTCCAGGGCAGGTACGGCAAGTGTATGCGAGTTCAGGTGTGTGGTTCAGCAGGTGTGTGAGCAGCAGGTATGTGGTTCACCGAGTGTATGAATAGTAGAGGTGTGGCCTAACAGGTGTGCGAACAGCAGATAAGGGTGATTCAGCAGGTGAGTGACCCAGTCTCAGCAGGTGTATGAACAGGAAGTCTATGTGCTTCAGCAGATCTGTGTCTCCGCATTTGCGTATGCCTTAGCTGGTGTATGACTCAGCAGGTGTATGTAACTATAACAGAGATCTGCGACAGCAGGTGTTTTAGCAGATGTATGTGACCGCAGGTGTGTGTGTGTGTGTGTGTCAGCAGGTGCAAGATAAAGAGGACTAGACTGTTACCTTTCAGTTCCTGGGGCGGCGGAGGTGACTGTCCTGCAAGATGAGAAACAACTCGATACGCGCACCTTAACAGTATGAGGGAGCCGCGACTCCACAAGTGACTCACAACACACATGACTAAGAGCATCACTAGGCTCCTAAACTACGCTACACACTCTAGGTCTCACCACTAGTGATCTAAAGTCCATCACGACAACACCTACGTCTGCTGGCCGTACGAAGTCTGTTAACAATCACATCAGTTCTAGTACTGTACCTCACTGACAACCCTAAAACTACAACAGTATATTCTGGGTGTTGTGTGTGACTGGTACACCTACTAGTAATATGATTTAACGTCTACTTACTGTGAGAGAAAGAAGTTTATTATACTTCAACAAAATAATGAATTACAACACTGAAGCTAACGAGCCCAAACCTTAACAGCCACTTGGAGAACTGAGGCTGTTGGAGTGTATTAAAGTTATCAAGAATATACTCGAGTGTATACAGGGCCAACTACACCTATATACAGTTTATGGTTGTGTATAATGTCCCTTTAAGTCCCACTATATGACTATAAAAGCTATAACAATCCTAGAATTATTATACGGTAATGTTTATAACAACACAGCGGTAACTATTAATCTCGGTGAATATTTCTGACGTAATTACTAAACACAATTTATTATTTACAAGAATACGAGTTATAAAAGGGAATTAAAACTTATTTATTGTAATTAATGATAACGATGGTGTGTGTGTGTGTGTCGTCTCTACTGCATGTATGGGACTGAACACAAAATATTAATTAGTTTATTTTAATTATTGTTACATTAAAAAAATAAAGTGTTTGTGAAAGATAAAGTCTGCCCAAATTAATAGCCAATACCTTTGTGTAGTTAATGACGACACACACACATATGACCTGATAACATTTAATATAATAAACAGGTGTAGATGACGTTACAATAACACTGATGTCAGGTATATAAATCATGTCAAATATTATACTGCCCTGTGTCAGTATAAATAACACACACGTCAACACCCCCCCCCCCTTGCTGGCTTATACACAGACTAACATGTATGCACTCCCTACGACGATTCTGATTGGCTGATTAAATAAAATCTCATCTTAGAAACAAACCTTTTTCTCTGGCTGCTATAGACAAATAAATATCCCCCCATAATCTCCACAAATGAAGAACAATTTTTAAAAGAAATATGTTTATGCGAAGCTCAACTTTCCGCACCACATAACTCACTGTCTGGCGCTCAAGGAATTTACGGCCACGAGCGTACACGAGTAATTGTATTCTAAGAGTTGGACTTTATGAATATTTACATGGAATAAACCTCTAAATAAACAGATAATCTTTTAATTAATCTTCTTAGTGACTTCAGTGATGAATAAACTAGATAGCTACACGATAGTTCTTCTCACACCTCTCCAGTTAGCCAATCACACGCCTCAGGGACTAGTTTAGCCAATCACACACGCCTCAGGGACTAGTTTAGCTAATCACACACGCCTCAGGGACTAGTTTAGCCAATCACACACGCCTCAGGGACTAGTTTAGCCAATCACACGCCTCAGGGACTAGTTTAGCCAATCACACGCCTCAGGGACTAGTTTAGCCAATCACACACGCCTCAGGGACTAGTTTAGCCAATCACACGCCTCAGGGACTAGTTTAGCCAATCACACACGCCTCAGGGACCAGTTTAACCAATCACACACGCCTCAGGGACTATTTTAGCCAATCACACGCGCCTCAGGGACTAGTTTAGCCAATCACACGCCTCAGGAACCAGTTTAGCCAATCACACACTGTCCCGTTACGTCACTACCACCCTATACGTCTGCAGTGCTAAATTGTTTATCATTTATCCATCTATTTATCCCCCGATCACTACCAAGAAATGAATAAATAAATAAATTAATTAAATAAATAAATAAATAAATAAAAAATACCTAAATAAATGATAACTTATTACACTACTTGGCAATAAACTCACCAACACGTGACCAAAAACAAAAACATTACGTCACTCCTGCCACCCTGACACCTACTTCCCTACCCCTGACACCCTACCACCTACTTCCCTACCCCTGACACCTACTTCCCTACCCCTGACACCCTACCACCTACTTCCCTACCCCTGACACCCTACCACCACCCTCATCCCTTACACAACGCTTCAGGAACTTATAGTGTGTACTCAACCATCTGCCAGCTGGTTCACGAAGAATAAAGATGGTGTACTCAACCATCTGAATTAAATTAACTGTATCTACATAAATGTTTGTCTACACTTCACCTGGTATGACCTGACTTGACCCCAATTAACAAAATACTAACCTAAATTAACGTAATGTAATACGGGCTAACATGTATTGACCTGAATAAACATATAGTGAACTAGATTAACTTTTACTGAACTGGCTTTGGTTAACATGTGGTGATAATATATAGATTAACATTTAGTGGCTTGGATTAACATTTAGTGGCTTGGATTAACATTTAGTAGCTTGGATTAACACTTAGTGGCTTGGATTAACATTTAGTAGCTTGGATTAACATTTAGTGGCTTGGATTAACATTTAGTAGCATGGATTAACATATATTGACCTTAATTTAACATCAAGGGACGTTAGCTAAATATATAGACCTTGGCTGACCTGTTCGGGGTTAATTTAACATTTAATGACCTTATTTAACCTACTGTGAATGGGGTTAACTGGATCTAACATATGTATTAACATCTAACAAGGTGGGTTAACATGCACCAAGCGGAGGTAAAATATACTGACCTGAATTAACCTGGGGAGTTGACTTAAAATACCTAAATTAACCTGAATTCACCTGTCAATACCTGGATTATCCTTAGTTTACCTGTCATACCTTAAATTAATCTCATTAGTTTACCTAGATTAACCTAATAAATTTCCTCGGATTAACCTTACAAGTTTACCTGGATAATTAGACAATTTTTACCTGTAATTACCTAAATTAACCTGCCGTGCTTTCAACAGCTGACAAAGGAGTACCTCGCCTCACCTGATATGTCGGGCATGATAGAGGTCCGCCCACGGAATATAAGGGCGGTGTTCCTGCAGAAGAGGTTCTCGCCGAGGCCCTCGTGCCCACGGTGCCTGAGGGTGCCGGTGTGGGCCAGCTGGTTGACCCACGCCTGGGCCTGACGACACAGCTGGTGGCGGGAGACACAGATGGCTCGTCAACAATACTATATATACTGTTGGTGTCTCTCTCTCTCTCTCTCTCTCTCTCTCTCTCTCTCTCTCTCTCGGGTTAAGGTCCATTGAATGTTTACTTGTCTGCTTGTATGTTTGTCTGTCTGTCTGTCTTTCAAGGACTGTCTGACTAAAAACACTGTGTGTGTGTGTGTGTGTGTGTGTGTGTGTGTGTGTGTGAAGGGGAAACACACACACACTAGAGATAAACAACAAACAATACTAAACACACTACAAACACACAGACAAATTAGGATAAATACAGTAATATTTGGTCGCTGTATTTAAATTAACATACTGTATATATATATATATATATATATATATATATATATATATATATATATATATATATATATATATATATATATATATATATATATATATATATATATAAATAATTTCTTAAATGCATGTGAACTAAATAAATATATATATCCACTCCAATAATATAGTTTAATTAACGAAGAATATATCAATATATATCGTAAGTCAAAATGGGACTTACATATAACGTTACCATTACGTCATGTCACTGATCAGAGTAGTGAGTGGGTGAGTGACGTACCTCGTTGGAGAGGATGAGTGGCTTGGCTGAGTGACGGGCACGGTAGAGGTTGTGAGCCCTCAGGCAGGACTGCACGAACTCACTGTCCTCCCAGTGCGGCTCTGGTTCATGTATCCTGGGCGACACCACCGGCCGGAGTGACGCTATCTGCTGGGGGCACGACAACTGTTACTGGCGGTGGTGGTGGTGATGGTGGTAGTGGGTGGCTAAATATCAACACACTAAACACCCATCAAACACCATCTCCCAGCACACTCTTACAATTCCCGCCTTTAGTCTCAAGTACTTTACCCCGACACAATAAGCTGGCGGACTATCAGGATCACACGCGCGACCCCCCCCCCAAATTGACGCGACATGAACACCTTGTCTTCTAAACTCTTTCTTTCATCACCTGTACTCTCTATACCGACCCAGCAGCTGTTAATACGAGAATTTAATGACTACTCTGTCTTAGTGAGCCGTGAGGTAGACTGGATTAGAAATGATGGTATCTGTCAGGGTGTTACGATGAACGAGGTTGTTGGATGTTCGCCATGTACACAAACGTTATCTCAGGTGGACAAATGAAGGATGAAATGAGCAATGGAGACTCGATTCTCTCTCTCTCTCCCTCACCAACACTATTTCTCTCCCGTCCCTTACTACTACTTTTATCTTCTCTGCCCCCCACTCCCCTCCATCATTATCTCCCTCTCTCCCTCATCAGTATTCGCCTCCACACTAGGGAACACGGGTCTACCTCCGTGACACAACATGGGAAGACTCGGTTAAAAAGTTTCTTTCATGGGTGGCTGAGTCTTGGTCATCCTCCGCACGTCCAGTCGTCATCCCAACCATATCCTCGTGTCACACCTTGTCAGTCATCCACCACACGTCCAGCTATCACCACAACCACATCCTCGTGTCACACCTTGTCAGTCATCACCCCACACGTGCAGCTGTCATCACTATACCATATCCTCGTGTCACACCTTGTCAGTCATCCACCACACGTCCAGCTATCATCCCAACCACATCCTCGTGTCACACCTTGTCAGTCATCACCCCACACGTGCAGCTGTCATCACTATACCATATCCTCGTGTCACACCTTGTCAGTCATCCACCACACGTGCAGCTGTCATCCCAACCACATCCTCGTGTCACACCTTGTCAGATTCATTAGGCCAGTGTAGTAATTCATGGGATCAGGTGCTCATTCTGACTTCCTTATGTGTTTAACAATATTCTTACTTCCATGTACAGTAAACCATCTCAATACCGGACTTCTCAATAACAGAATCCTACCAATAATGGACAAGGATGGCAAGAAATTAACTCTGGAATTGAGACGGTTTACTGTGTGTGTGTGTGTGTGTGTGAGTGTGTGTGTGTGAGTGTGTGTGTGTGTGTGTGTGTGTATGCGTGTGTGTGTGTGTGTGTGTGTGTGTGTGTGTGAGGTAGGTAGGTGTGTGTGTGTGTGTGTGTGTGAGTGTGTGTGTGTGAGTGTGTGTGTGTGTGTGTGTGTGTATGCGTGTGTCCCCTATTGAATTTTTGAGAGAGGTTTCCGCAGCTCAGGTAATAACACGTCTCCTTGCCTCTCATGTATATTTTGCAACCTTTACTCTTTTCCTACACCACCACAACAACCCTACCAGACTAACTTACCCGGACGTGACATGAGCAGTGTGTTCTGATTTACTAATGGATCACGTTACCTTCTGCAACACCAAAAGTAAAACAAAAAAAAAGGACCCCAAAAATACATCCCTCACACGACAACAACATCCAGCCGTCAAGTCAAGAAGGGGTGGGGGTATCTAAAGTATGCGTCCTGAGTTGAGTAAATAAAAAATAGGTAAATGTATGGTGGATAAATAGTGGTGATGTTGTGGAAACCTTTGTTGCGGAGGTGAAAATATTGACGAGAACACGCACGCACGCACGCACGCACGCACGGCACGCACGCACGCACGCACGCACGCACGCACGCACGCACGCACGCACGCACGCACGCGCACGCACGCACGCACGCACGCACGCACGCACGCACGCACGCACGCACGCACGCACGCACGCACGCACGCACGCACGCACGCACGCACGCACGCACGCACACACACACACACACACACACACACACACACACACACACACACACACACACACACACACACACACACACACACACACACACACACACACACACACACACACACACACACACACACACACACACAACACACACACACACACACACACACACACACACACACACACACACACACACACACACACACACACACACACACACACACACACACACACACACACACACACACACACACACACACACACACACACACACACACACACACACACACACACACACACACCACACACACACACACACACACACACACACACACACACACACACACACACACACACACACACACACACACACACACACACACACACACACACACACACACACACACACACACACACACACACACACACACACACACACACACACACACACACACACACACACACACACACACACACACACACACACACACACACACACACACACACACACACCTCTACCAGGAATAGGGGTGAGAGGAACAGTGGCAGGTGAGGTGAATGGTACTTAGGATAATAAATGAGGGGGTGGATGAGGGGGTGGATGAGATGATAGATAGTGTGGATAACACGATAATCAGTGTAAACAAGAAAGATTATAGGAACATATGGATTACAGAATGGGGACGAATGGATGACAAAACAAAAGCAAATGGATGAGAAGGAAGATTGTGTGGATGACAGGAGAGATAATGAGGGTGAGAGGAAGGTAAGCTCACCTGAAGGAGTATAATTAGGTGCGGCAGTGGCAGGTGAAGTAAGGAAACCTCAGATGGTGTATCAAATGCGTCGTAACCCTGGAACCTCGCCAGCTGGTGTGTGTGTGTGTGTGTGTGTGTGTGTGTGTGTGTGTGTGGTAGCGTGTGTGGTGACGCTTTGAGAGAGAGAGAGAGAGAGAGAGAGAGAGAGAGCACATTAAAACAGACAGCGAATTTATATCACCCCCAAAAAAAGACAACATCATTAACCGTGTTTTTCAGGGACAGAGGAAATGAGCCGGGATGAATACTTGTGTCAGAGTTAACCTGTTGAAATATACCTGACCACAGTGCCAGCTGCTCTAGATGGTGCCACTGTTCCTCCCTCCAATACCTCCCTGTCTCCCTCCCTCACCTTCCTACTTGTCTCATTCCTCCTACCTCACCTCCCTTACCCCCCCCCCACCGTGCCCAACCACTTAGTGAATCTCCCCCTCCCCCTCCCCCCTCTTGAAACTGCAGACAGTCTATATCCCGGCTTGTGAGACCTTCACAGGAAAATGACAGCTCGTATTAGTAACAGGTCGAGCTCAAAATAACTTGCAGAGAATACAAAGATGGTGGGAGGAGGAGGAGGGAGGAGGAGGAGGAGGAGGAGGGAGGAGGAGGAGGAGGGAGGAGGAGGAGGAGGAGGAGGTAGTGGTGGAGGAGAGAAGGAGAGGGAGGAGGGAGGAGGAGCTGGGTGGCGGCCAAGGGTATTTACTACAGATGGACAGACAAGTGTTGTGAGGGAGAATGGAGGAGGTGAGAGGAGGTGAGAGGGAGGGTGAGAGGAGGGTGAGAGGGGAGGAGGTGAGAGGGGAGAGGTGAGGAGGGGGAGGAGGTGAGAGGGGAGGTGAGAGGGGGAGGTGAGAGGGGAGGTGAGAGGGAGGTGGAGGAAGGTGGGGAGGGGGAGGGGGTGAGAGGGAGGATGAGGGAAGGTGAGAGGGGAGGAGGTGAGGAGGGGGAGGTGGGGAGGGGGAGGTGAGAGGGGAGGTGAGCAGGAAAGATGGGATGAGAGAAGGACGAGAGAACACACAAGAGAAAGAGAAGAATAAGGAAGAACAAAGGAAGAATAATAGTACATAATGAAGTAAAGGACATAGAAGGAAGAAGGGAGGGAAGGAAGAGAAAAGAAGTAATAGGAGGAGGAGGAGGAGGCTCCACCTAACACAGCTAAGCCAAAATGGACACTCGTTTTATCTCTACAAGTCTCCCTCTCCCTCCCCGGTCAGAGCCGAGAGAGGGAGGGAGAGGGAGAGAGTGTGTGTGAGAGAGAGAGAGGGGAGAGTGAGTGAGGGGACACAGGTGGAGGGTGTTGGGTGTTGTCAGGTGAGGTCGACACCCACCTGACGGATGACTGTTTTGACGATCAGCTGTTGCACCACACACACACACACACACACACACACAACAATACCGTACCAATAAGTCACATTGTGTGTTTGTTGCTATGCATGTGCGTATGTTTACATTGTGTGTGTGTGTAACCATGTAGTCAAGCTGTCATGTGTGCACCATGTAACCCAGAGGGGAGGGCGTTACCACATGGGTGGTGGTCCAGGCTGCTTTGTAAATTTCCCATTGTACCTTCAGTGCCACCCTGGACCGTCTCAAGATACCCAAACAAGACACTTAATGGACAGAAAACGCACTGACGATACACTCACTCAAGTCATTTTCATCATGTTACAATTATGATGCACACACACACACACACACACACACACACACTCAACACATACACTCAAGATATTTACACACTTACGATGATTTACTACTTCTTGAATAACCCACTTATATTTTGACTTAAATTGCACTTAGAAAACATTATATACTCAACGTACTTACGAGACAATTTATCTACTTACAATGTCTTAAATAACACACTTACAATGCACTTATAATACACCCAGAATACTTAACACACTTACGACACACTTTGGATACTTACAAGGGCCTATACAACCCACTTACAATCAACTTTTAACGCACTCCTTTTTTTTACCACTTACGACGCACTTACGATGGTTTATGAGTACAACATCTAGAATGACGCACTTACAATATACTTATGTCACTGGAGATTAAGTGTATTGTGAGTGTGTTGGCATCTTCAAGTCTATTATTTGAGTGTGTTGGTATATTAAAGTGAGTTGTCTGAGTGTGTCGGTGTCTTAAAGTGTGTTACGAGTATGTGATAGTATCTTAAAAGTGTGTTACGAGTGCGTTGACGGCTTCTGCACTTCTCCGTTCCCTCACAAACAACATCAACCA